TTTTATAACAACAGCTAAGTTAGCGGTAAAAACTAGTTTCTAATAACCAATATTTATAAGTTTGGAAACCTTTAGAGATAACTATAAAGAACAAACGACTATGGACGCGAAAAGTAGATTATAGACAGTATCAAAAGTATTTTCATTATTTTATAACAAAATATTACAGAAAATCCGCGCATATTTCCAATTGAGCAAAATTTTGTAAATAACTTTGAGCATTACTTAACTTAAAGTTACGGCAGTTGTTTTCATTGTATAAAAACTTTTTTATTTATCACGTTGCTCCAGATAAAAAGTTTTCACTTTATATTGTATATTGTATACGAGTTAATTTTGTAAAATAGGATATTTATGTCTTTGCGCTCATATATAAAAAATAATAAAATGAATCTTTAGTAAGTATTTATTTAGCTATAATATAATCTCGTTTGTATATGACTAGCTATTACTAAAGACTTTGCTTGCGTATATATTTTGATTGAGCATTATTTTTACCCGACTTCGCGACGCAAAGGAGGGTAATGTGTTTATCTACCTATGTATGTAGGTATGTGGGTTTGTACCTTTGTGGCACTGTTTAGACTAAACGCGTGGGCCGATTTTGATAAATGACACGTTGTTTGATTCGTCATGACGGCGCGAATGTTATAGAAGGCAAAAAAATTTGGAAAGTTCATACTGGCTGGTTTTGGACACCATAATCTGAAAAAGAAAAAACGAAAATCGACGAACTGTGTCAAGTGGGGTATCATTAAATAGGTATTTAAAAATAATTTTTAGGTTTTTTCTCATAATTTTTCATTTTAAATAACAATTTCGACAAACCATTCTCGCTAATTTTCCTACTTAAAAATACTTAAAAAATAAAAATCTATGAAACTTAACATAAAAAACTTGTTTAAAAATAATTTAGGATAAAAAATTGGTAAATATGACTTCAAATGTCTAATTGGCAAAAATTAAAAAGCTGTAAATAATTTAAATACACTGCTGTCATTCTCATAAATGAAACTACGATGTATAACTGATTTTAAAATTAAATACTTTACTTAATTTATGTTTCACTAATTAAATGTTTTTAAATTTCAACATAATATAATATTTATTATAATAATGCGAAAAATACAAAGATTGTAAAAATATTGTGTCTGTTAAATGTTATATTTTTAACGTAGGTTTTAAGGGGCATGATAGTAAGGCATTTACCTAAAAGAAAGTCTTGCTTTTAAGGTAAGTATAAAATTACTACCCCATTTTAAAAAGTTATTTTGCTATTGTGTATATTCGCTGCATATTTTAAAATAGTTCTTCTTGCTATGTTTTAAATAATAATATCATTATATACTGACTGACTTGAGAACTAGCATTGCCCGCGGCTCCGCCTGCGTTCAGATGACCAAAGACCAAATTCTTAGATTTTACATATTAGTATACTCTTACATTGCAGTTTTTGTATTTTTTCTTAAAAATGAGATATTTTCCCGCGGTAAAAAGTATCCTATATGTTGACCCGGATAACCAGCTATCACCATATCAAATTTCATCAAAATCCCTCTAGTGGGTTTTCTGTGATGCGGTATCAGACAGACAGACAAAAAATCTAAAAACTATAGATTCGGCCTCTGCATCGATAATAATGTTTATTTCAATAAGATTTTTCGAAAAATAGTTAATGTACAGATTCGGCTTAGTTACAATTTTATTATATGTATAGATATATGTAAATGACATACATAATACATGCTTGTAAGAGATAATAAAAACAAAAACCCTAAATAAAATATTTGAAGTGGTCAATTCAGTATTGATACGTGATTCGAAATCACCTCTAATTTTCAGGCTGTAAATTAAAGGGTACAGAACAATTTATTACATGGCTGATATATCGTAGTGCCCCCGCAATGCTGACTTTGTAATCCAAGGTAATTAGCTATGCTGATTTAGTGTCTGGATTATAGTTTAGTTTTTGGTTAAATAAGTTTCAGTTTGAGTATTATTTTCAATCTTTTGAACGTAAATAATAATCGGTATACAATAAATATAAATGCGAAAGTTTGTGTGAGTTTTGTTCACGCTGACACGGTAGGGCGGATTTGGATTACTGTTAGATACCCGAGGGAGTCGAGGGTTAGTCGCTAGTATCGGAAATATTATGTCAAATTCGTTTAATTAATTGATTTTCTAGGCAGTGATAGCCCAGTGATATAGCGCTCGCTTAGGAAACCGAGTGGAGCAAAGTCAAATCATGGGTCTCGCACCTTTGATATTTTCATGTGCGAATGAATTTTAACATGATTACCACTTGCCTTACGGTGAAGGAAAACATCGTGAGGAATCTTGCATGTCTGAGAGAACCTAGCAAGTTTTCGAAAGACATGTGTAGCTCGCCAATGGGTACTTAGCTAGCGTGGTGAACTATGGCCTGATCCCACTCGTATTGAAGGGATGCCCGTGTCCAGCAGTAGGACGTTAAAAAGGGCTGAATACATACATACAATTGATCTTCTGCGACCTATTGTGATATCATATGTAATAGTATATCTAGAAGTATCACAATAACGAGTTTTTTATGCGTAGAAGACATAAAAATATGTACGGAGCCCCGTATTCGCATCTTTTTACCATATTTAAAAAAATACTAACAGAACTAATGATGTATAGACAGTGCTGATTTCCGGCGCACGTTATAACCAACAAAAATGATAACCGCAATAAAATTCAATACTCTCTAGTCTCTATATTTATCGATGCGAGAAAACGCTAGCATAGATCTATCATAAAGATTAGGAATTACACTATATTGAAAATATTGCGATACTAATTTGTTACTTAAAATAGAAAGAATAAGGCCTATTCTTGTTTATCCGATTTGTGTTGTTTATACAGCTTGAGCTGTTATACCCTAACATTCTTGTAGGTAGCATCTCGTTAATCTATCAGTAGGGATACGATTGCCCGCTGTCATGCGGAAGCACATCTTTGATCTCGGCCTTAATCAATTGGTATCGATGTATCGATGCTCAACCATCGACTCACCGACTCGATTCGAAAGCAATTCTACCTACGCAGTCACCATCATATTTTATTAACATTTGATTACGTTTAGATTTCCGTTTTGCTATCTTTACTTCTTATTTTTGATAAGCTTTAAAAAAATAAAAAGTTAAATAAAATATAGCTTATGTAAATAGCTTATGTAATATATATGTTTATGTAGTATATAGGCTTAGTAAGGTAATAAGCCAAAAACCCTTATAAAATTATTTTTAAGTGTAAACGTTCACTATTATATTTTGTAATAATATTAGCGGTTTTAGTTATATGTTTGATATTTAATCTCTATGTGTATGTAAAATGTAAATAGAATTACTAATTTCGTGGAATTTGTAATTATCATAGCGTAGTGTGACCTGATTTTCACAGCAAATATGGGTCCGTCTCTCGAGCATTCAATACTGATATAATAACATCGTATAAAATATTGTTTCCCGTCATGGGACTGTCGGCCAATCGAGTTCACAAATTAACAATAAATATTCATGTGAACGATTACACGCACGAGTGTAATGGTATATCGATAACGTATAAGTGTGTATTTTAAACTTTTAGTATTTTGACCTTATCATTAATCAATAAAAGTTTAAATATATTTTTGCTGCTGCCTGAACGGAAATTATAATTAGATACAATTGAAATATTTGAGGAACGAAAATGCAGATGTTTTGGTAAAAAGATCTATGAATACATACATATGTATAAAATTGTAATTAACTCGAATCTGTACATTCAATTTTTTTTGGAAGATCTTATTGGAAAAGCCATTATTAGGTATTAAGGGGCCAAAGTTTTTAATTTTTTGTTTGTCTGTCTGTTACTGCATCACAGGAAAATCACTGGATGGATTGTATTGAAATTTGGTATAGTGATAACTTATTATCCGGGTCAACATATAACATACTTTTACTGAGGGTAAAAGTTTTATTTGTAAGGAAAAATACAAAAACTGGTTTAAATAAAATAAAAACGAAAATATAACATTTCACTTACTGAAATTATAAAATAAGGCAAAAAAAATATAGATTCCGATGAATTTAGAACCTCCTCCTTTTTGAAAAAGTCGATTGAAAATAAGTTCTCTTGATATATTATATCAATAGGCAAAATCTTTTAACTACGTAGAAATAGCGACTTAACCTTACTTCGCTCAAATGCGTTCCTAGGTGCTTAACTCTATGCATTGACCCAGGTCTATCTGACTATTAAATTTTATCTAAATGCGTTCAGCCGTTTCAGCGTCAAGGAGTAAGTAACAAACGTACATACAAATTTTCGAATTTATATATAGTATCTACTTGCCATTTACCAAACTTTCGCATATATAATAGTAACGAGCTATTTAGGCGCGTAATGCAATTATTACTGGCAATGTTTAAAGCATAGAAAAAACCATGTAATCCTGGAAAAGTCATCAAAACAAAAAATTGAAAGAAACAAATCTAGCCCTTATTTTAACACGTTCGGCCCAGCGCCGCCGTAAGAAGATTCTCGCATTGTGACACACCGTTTCCCCATACAAATTGGATTTACGTTGATAAACGTTGTGCTTTTCATGTGTGCAAGATTAATTTTTGATGCGACACAAACGTTGAGAGACGTCGACGTTTTATAACGCTGTGTCACATATAGTTTGAGTATTTACCATAAGCTAGAAAACAACGTCAAATCACGTTGACATTAATAAACGCTGCGTCGCATACAGTCAATATAAGGTATAGAAACCTAAGAGCAACGTTTAGTTACGTAGACGTTCATAGACGTTGCGTTACTGAAAGTTAATTATGCTTATGTAAAACGACTATCAAAGTCCTATCACGTTGACATTTACTTTTTGATTTCTTCGGAATCTGTATTTTTGTAACGGTAATTGCGTGAGTTTCTTGTTGCCCTTCCATACCACATATGTGGTGGAAATATTTTATCGAAAACGTCTACGACTAAAGCATTTGGGCCAAGTTCAAATTGGTAACCTCAGTAAAAGTACTTTCAAAGTAAAAAATTGTTATATCTGCTAGAGAGTCTTCCCAATTTTTAATTGGAGAAGGTGTCCGTTGCTTTGGTCGTCGTAGCTTATCTGTCAGTGCTTCTCGATTACGATTGTGATCGTGAGAAGCTCCGGGCATCGGGTTGTTTTCCACCCTTAGTGGACTTGATGAGGGTGGTGGTGATGAGTGCTTCTCCATTTCTATCTCTTCATGTGATGGCAAATGAGTGGGAGCGTGCGGCTGATCGCACTTTTCTGCAGTCAGTGGCGCTGGTGACAAGATGCGTGTTGTTGGGTAAACCTCTTCAGCTACAAGCAACGGTAAACTATCTGGAAGATCTATAGGAAAGCTCTAACAGACTACAACAAAGAGATTAGGAGGGCTAAAAGAGAATCGTGGAGGAAGCTCTGTGAGGAAATCAAAAGTCTTCCACAAGTAGCAAGACTCTACAAACTTCTCTCTAAAACCAAACCTAATCCTATCGGACTTCTCAAGAAGGAAGACGGCTCCTTCACAACTACAGAGAAAGAGACCCTCGAGTTGCTGGCCACGGCACACTTCCTTGGTTTCTCTTGGATAATATTAATAATCAGCAGGCAGGCTATCATAGACCTCGCAGTGAGGACTGGTGCAAAGCTGCCAAGATCATAAGACCCAACCATGTTCGGTGGGCCGTAGACTCCTTTAAGCCCTACAAGGCGAGAGGGGAAGACGGGATACCACCAATCTTACTGCAGCAAAGGGGTGAACATCCTCCTTTCCCACCTGAATATATAAATCTTCAGAGCGAGCTTCGCCTGGGGATATGTACCAGATATATGGACCCATGTCAGGGTCATATTTATACCTAAAACTGGTAAAAAAGACTATAGCCAGCCAAAGTCTTTTAGACCAATAAGCCTCTCTTCATTCTTACTCAAAGCAATGGAGAAGGTACTGGATAGGTATATAAGAGATGAAGTCTTGACTGAAAGTCCAATCCACTTTAACCAACATGCATATCGTAAAGGCAAATCAACCGAGACTGCCCTTACAAGTCTTATAGACCAAGTGGAAAAGGCGTTAGAAGACAAGGAAATAGCACTATGTGCATTTCTAGATATCGAAGGTGCTTTTGATAACTCTTCTACTTCGCTGTTGGTAAATGGGTTGATAACTAAAAATGTCGACCCAACAACGGTAAAGTAGGTGAAATCTATGCTCACTAGCAGAAAAGCAAAACTAGCCCTCCACGATACAGCTATCTATATATCCACAGCAAGAGGATGTCCGCAAGGGGGAGTTCTATCCCCATTACTGTGGACCCTTGCTGTGGATGAATTACGTCGCTATCGGTATTTATGGATTCTGGATCGTAATCCTTGTCAGTATCGTACTCTCCATCATCACTGAAAGAATCAAGAGTAACTTCCCAAGACGAAGAATCTTCAAATACCTTCAGAAACCCCTTATTGTAGACACGCTTTTTATCCATCTAAAACAATATCAAAATTAAAATATATCAACTAATTATTATAATTATATAAAAATAAATGTAATATATATTTAAATATACACACTTATTTATAATTATTATTAAAAATAAACATATTATAAAAATCTTACGGTTTATCGTTCACTTCAATACGGTTGAGCGACGTTCGCGCAGCACGCGCTCCTCTTGATGCGGCACAGAACGACAGAAGCTAGCTGCGTCGCTACTCCCCGCGACGTGTACGAACGTTGTGGGTATGCGTATGTGAGCATGTGCGCGCGTGATGGATGTTAGCAAAATGCCACTAAAAGTTGATTCGTTGCGGCAGTAGACTTTTGAAACTTCCAAACGATGCGGCGCAAATACCTCTTTAGTAGAATATCGTATTGACTCCTGACGTTATGAAACGTAGGGCGAATAAATGCACGTTTAAAGTAGACGTGACTAAACGTTGTGTCAATTATTTAATTTCCAATTTTGCCGTCATGAGACGTTGCTGGCCCGAACGTGTTAAGAAAATTTTTACTAGTAACTATCGCGGTAACTTCTTAGATCAATTAAACTTGATTTCGATCTAGGAGTACATGTGCCTTGGCCATAGATATTTGAATGAATGATTTCCTGTTGCCCTTGCAATATCGTACATATCGCGTAATGTGAAACGTTTCACAATTTTAGATTCTCCTTATATTAGCGATAGCATTAAATTGTCATTGCGATTTTTCATTGAATGCATTTATCGTAATTGAAAGACTATGAATGAGTACAATTACCAACGTAATTACCCCATTATGAACAAGCAAAATAAAATAGCAATTTAATTCAATGCAACAAAATTCCAATAGGTACATATGAATAAACATCAAGAATACAAATTAATATTCGATGAACGCGTAATTTACGAAACATGGAATAATTTCCGACTGAGATAATTTCGAGGCTTTTGTTTACTAGCTTTGTTTCGTACCGCAAATGCCAGGTGGCGACAATTCTAAAGTTTTCCATGAAGGCCATTTCCTAATTAATTCCTGTTTGTTATTCACGGGGACGATTCATTTCGAGTGTTTTTGGCTCAGATTATAGTTGAGCTCATTAAAAATTTTGCAAATCCCACGAGTTTTCCGTCCAAAACAAGTTTATTGGCTCTCATTGTACTTATGAAGGGTGGAAACATAACGAAGTGCTATGTGCGGCACATAATATGGTAATTTGATTTCTATATTTTATACTAGCGACTCACCCTCGCTTGGCTCGGGTTTGTCCTAGCTTGCTTCCCAATACAAACTTTCATTCCCTTAAGGGATGATTTCCGGGATAAAAAGTATCCTGTGTTCTTCCTAGGGTCTCATACTATCTTGTTACCAAATGTCATCAAAATCCAGAGATAACCCTCTACAACCTCATAAACTTACAAACACACAAACTTTACCTTTTTATAATATTAGTATAGATAAATATAATTATCTTACATTTTGACAAAACTATCAATTTCTTATTTTAAATATTGTTTTCATGATGAAGAAACTGAACAACGGAACGTCAAACTATCAACGCACTGTTTTATATTTTAACCCAAATTTTTCACTTTTCCGTACAATTTTTCAAATATTTCTTTCACCCTAACCTTGTCCTGACGATTACAAATACAACAAATAAAGTTTCAACAGTAAAAGTTGTGAAATAGTTCGCTTACATACGTTTGGCAATTAATTTTTATTTATATATAGATCTAGATAATTCATTAAGGTAATTCCGAGTATAGTATTAGATATATTTAAAAAAAAGATTTTCTCAATATAAGTAGGTATATGAAATATTTTTTAAAGTAATATACCCCGCATAGACAATAGCTTATTTCGGCTAGGTTAGACACCTTGTGTTATGTATAGGTATAATTTAAATATAAATATTATGTAATTGAAAATACTCATTTTAAGTAACGTCAACGAAAAGAGAATATTACAAATTAATATATGAGTAATTGAATTGTGGCGGATATCGTTGCGTCGTCGATTGATTCATTGTTGTAAGTAATTTGGGTCATATAATTATATGAAAGGAAATAAATTATTAAATTATGATAAAATAATGTTTTTGATATATTTCTTTTGAATATAAAGTGAATTAATTGAGTTATAAACTATATAGTCAATATAAACGTAATATTTATTAATTTATGTAAATACGTCTCTCTCTTAATGAAAATTATATTATGCTAGTCAAAATTATACTTTTGCTTATTCTATTTTTAAGTAATATTAGTTTTTCATGAGTTTATAAAGGTTTCACAGTTCGGATGGATATTTTTCTTGTGTGTTACGAATATTTCTAGCTGAATTTAAATAAATTTTTTAGTGAATAGTCTATATTATATTTTGACGCTAGTACCATATTAAAAAAAGAAAACAATTCTGCGCTTAAGAAAGAAATAATTATATTTTAGGATGTTTTGAAAAGGCAGGCTGGCAGCACTGAGCCAGGGTATAATTCAGTACTCTTATTGACAAAAAAAATAAAATACATACATAAAAATGACAAATGCACATAAAAATATACCTTTAATTTGTGAGGTCTACATACATAAAGTGTTAGAAATAAGGGATCTCTAAAAAAAAATTTTTTACATACATATTTTATTTATAATATAGCACACATTGGACACATTCAACAACAATTAGATTTATCAGAAATTTTAATCCGCCGATCTAAGATAAGTAGTTTCTGCATAATTTTTTAAATTACAAAACGTAATTTTACGTACATACTCGTATATCAAAGAATTTATTAGATATTTTGAGACTGATTAGTCTGAACACAACAGATAATATGTATGTATTTCATTTTATAGCTACATAAAGCCTGTTTGTTGTAAGTATAATATATTTGAAATTTCTTTTAGCTTTCTCGTGTATAACAAAGTCACATGACTTAACCGAACCATCCCCGAAAAGGCACTTGATGTATGCAAGCTGTCTGCCTGACTGATTCTATGTCGTCGGCTCTTAGTTAGGGGATCATTGTTGTCCTAAGATTGATGATAGGCTAATCGTCTCTTGACTCTGAAGACTCGAAATTTAATAAACAGATTCAACCATGACCTTTTTGAAATAAGAAAGGTTAATTCTTATACATAATTTAAATTCATTTTCAACCTTGACATAAAATGTTCTAATTTGGACTGTCTTAATATCTATAATTTCATATTTTAATAATATTCTACATGAAATAGCTTAAATGAAAATTTTATGCAAGTAATTATCATATTTTGCATTCATTATGAAATTCTGAGACCGTTTCCCATTCGAACAAAAATATAAAACAATATTCTGATATTCATGCTTAAATAACGAGCAACTCTACAAGGATACGAGCAGTTATCATTATTACCAAGTTTATATTACTTGTTATAATGAGTCAAGTGTAAGTAAATAAAATTCTTCAAGTATTAATAAAGTTGGTGACAGGATTCTGTTAAGGGGCATATAGAAGTAGCAGCAAACAGTTAAATTGGATATGAACAAATAAACAAATCATAACAAGGTCCCCGGGGAAGGCAGTAAAATGTCCTTTCGAAATTATTATTTGTAAAACAATATTTTACATTTAGCTGTAGGTAAGGTCGTTTAAGAGCATTACCGTAATGTTTTGTTAACAATATATATTTTTTGGATTAATCTTTGTTATTTTGGTTAAAAATTGTTATTATTTTTTTAATTCTTTTTTTATTTTTTATTTTTTTTTAATTATTAAAAATCACATATCTTTGTTGAAAATATTAATATCTCCATGATGACATGCAGAAAGGTTAAGCCACTAAATGAAATCATATTAATCATGTTTGTGAGACTAGGTGTTTATTTTAATTTATTAAACTAAATCCTCACACTATGTAGTGCATAAAACTGAACAAACAAAATTTTGTAGAATGTAATTGTAAAAATAATGTTGTTAAGTATATATAATATGTGCTAGGTACTACGTACAGTATCATATTATCTATACATATAATAAAATTGTAACTGAGTCGAATCTGTACATTAAACATTTTTTTGGAAAATCTAATTGAAATAGACATTATTATTGATACGGAGTCCGAATCTATAGTTTTTAGAATGTTTGTCTGTTTGTCTGTCTGTCTGGCTGTTACCGCATCACGAGAAAACCACTGGACAGATTTTGCGGCAAAATATCTCATTTCGGAGAAAAAATACAAAAACTGCATTGTAAGAGTATACTAATATGTAAAACCTAAGAATTTGGGTTTTAGTCACCTGGACGCGGGTGGAGCCGCGGGCAATGCTAGTAATTACATATGTATATACGAGTATGTACGTTGTACATTTAATGTACCTCAAAATATCTTCATATGAAAGATTTTTTTTAAATGCCCAATTTATTTTGAAAATATATATCTAAGGAATGTTTAAACTTTAAATCTAGATTTTCAATAACCGAATTGGTATTCATGCTGTATTTATTCAATTAATTGGCTAAAGGTGTTGTTGAGTAGAACAAATCGGCTGGTCACGCAATTCGAACGCGATCCGTAAGTAATTAATATTATTAAGAGCATAGTTCCAAGAAACACATCTTATATCTTATTGAATTAGTAGTATTTGCAATTGAAATCCAGAACAGAGAGCTTAGACGTGATGATATTATATAATCGCCATGTCTAATAGAAATTAAAAAATGTATAGTAATATCATGTACTTGCGTAAATTGATTCCTATACAAACTTTCATCCTCATTTTCATCCCTTTTAAGAGATTATTGCCGAGATGAAAAGCATCCTATGTCCTTCCCAGGGTCTCAAACTATCTTCTTACCTAATTTCACATAAATCGGTTCAGTAGATCCAGAGATTACCCCCTACAACGTCACAAGCTCACAAACTTTACTACTTTATAATATTAGTAAACGTTATGTCACGTGATTAGAATATAACACTCTTTTGGGTTTTTATTAGCGATATTGATTGTAGAAAGTTAACTATCTCGGGGCAGAATAAAAGGTGTTCTTGTATCTTGACTCATTTTCTCATTTGTCAGTAGACATTAAAATCGAAAATCTTAGTTAATATCTGTGATCCAAGGGGAGCTGGGGTTAACAATGAGGACGTTTGATGCGCTCACAGTCCTTTGATCTGACTGCAGAGGGTGCCCTCAAATATTTGAGGTGGATTGCCCTTTATTATGACTAGACCCTTTATGAGTAAGGTTTGAGTTCGTTGACCACTTTAAAGATACAAAGATCAAATACTGGAGCTAAAACAACAAAGCAATTACGCACGAGTTAACGAAGTATGAGAAATTTATTGAATTACAAAATTGCAGTTTCAAATTACTAGATGTTCATTTGTTGGAATAATTATAATCTTTTATTTAGAAAAATATAATCAAAATATTAACTATCTTATTTTTTGTTATTAACTCGAATAAGCTAATATATTCAAAATTCATATTACATTCTAAATATGATTCATTTTAATTGTTAAAACTAATGTTTATGTGAAATTGAATACGTCAATACTATGGCATACCCAAAAACTGTAAGTTAATTTGCATAAAATAATTAAATTCAGTATGACTATATAGGTCGTATAAATTTTGCGAAGGAAAAAAGAATTCGCAGCAGGTATTCGGGATATGTGCTATTAACATACTGACAGTCATCAGATAAGAGTCTTTTGTAAAATTTAGTGTATGGTGTGTAATTACAGGCGGGTGATAACATCGTGGGGACACGCCTTCGGGCTAACATATCGTGTTGTATCTTTTATAACACACCGTATGTATGTAGCTCTAATCAATGGTTGCACTTATATTTTTGTAATATTTTAAAAATGGTCACAAGATATTTCTGCTGCTTTTTTAATAATAATAATTCCATCTGATATCTCACCAGTAGCTATGTCTTAAAACTAATTGATACGAGTATAAGAGGGTCTAAAAGGAAGATAATTGTTTCATATTTCAAATTTTCCGGAAAAATAAAGCATTTATTAGTTAAAAGTTTTTTTCTTATCTATTTAAGTGTTAGTTTATGAGACATTCAAAACAATTAAAAAATTCTTCCCATTATAATATAAGGTACATGGAAAGGAAAGTATTTCGTCCTGGACCTTAACATCTGTTTACGCTGAATACGTTATAAGTAGTTCTCGTGCCGCTACAAATTCTTGCACGGCCGACGTTTTAATTAAACATCAGTTAATTTCGGCTATTAAAAGGATTTCGTTTTTTGTTTGTCGAGGAATCAACGTCTCGGCCACTTGTTGCCACTTCCCACGCGAGCGATCTGCATATATTTCCAGGCTCTTTCATTCTCGCACTTAGCATAAAACAAGCCCGACACCAAGTCATTATGCAGTCTCGGATTTCGAGGTACTGCCGCATAAATTTACGCCATTATCAAAATATCATGAATGAGGCAAACCGAGCATGAAACGAATTTAACCAGTTTAGGGGTCATTAACGCACGCAACGCGTATTGTTCACCCGTTTTATTTGCTACCAAGTTTACTAGTTGCCGTTTGCATGTATGAGCTCGAATGCAAATAAAATTTTAAATGAAACCTAATGAACTTACACGAGCTTTAATTTAATCATCTGCTTTGATTAAAGGCAAGTTTTTGCTTTGCTTTTGTAGTTATTTTTCTCTGAATATTTATATATTCAAATACAAAGTTTTGCTAGCAAGATAGTATCTATTTTGAAATAGACTTCCAGGTAAATAAAACATGTAAACGTGACATGATTAGTCAGTTAGTATATTCATATTGAAGTTGGCTTTTAAAAAAAAATATTTTTTGCATTTAAGTACGTTACAATACGATCTTAATTTTCGTGTTAGTATTTGTTATAATGTATAGTTAGTTAGATGTTAATAATGTTCATACTTCATAGTTACGTAAAAAAAGATTTAAAAAAGTTATGAATAAATCTATCTCTCTTCAAGAACCCCTCTACAAGTGAAGGTCTCCTTCAGAGATAGCCAATATTTTCTAGGAGCTGTTTAAATCCAGCTAGGACCAACCGTCTTCCTGATCTCATCTTCCCATCGATTGCAGGGGTCGATCGATTGCATCCTTTGTTTCTTTTTCCTTGTGGGCCTTTCCACAACATCACTCATTTAGTCCACCTATAGTCTTTAAGACGACCCACATGTTCGGCCAATCTCCATTTTAATGCCTTCTGTAGATCATCAGCTGTCTTGGTTCTTAAACCTCTCTCTCTCTATATATGTTATTGTCTTCTATCTTCATTCTCTTGAAGTTGGTTTACGTAAACTAAAATAAAAATAAAGAATTATCAATATTATGTAAACATAATATTTCAAATGATGCGACACTAAAATGATTCAAGAAGTTGGAAAAGAATTTAAAATACGAAATTTCTTCAATCTTTCTACGGGGATCGCTGGAATTCCATCGGAGTGATTCATGAAGGCGGACGGAGACTTCGCTAGATTTATAGTGGTACCTGTGACGTGTGACGTTGCACCGAATACCTCAGATAAGTGGCGCACATTAGGCATGTAATTGCATGTACCTAAGCTATGAATTTCAAAATTAGCTAGGTAAATTTTATTATTGACTCTCTAATAAAGTACAAATACAACTTCTTAATTTTTTTAAATATTTTATAGAGTTAAATCGAAATTCATATGGAAATTCCGAATGAAAGGAATGGTTCTGGTTTTAGCATACGTACCTACTTATAATTGGGTCCAATTGTACTAATTAACAAGGTAATTAAGTTAAAATTATAAGTCAATGTCCTTAAAGTATTATTTTCGATAGTAAAAGTTATTTTTAAAAGCGTGGAAAGAGAAAAACTGATTATATATATACATAAATAAATGTCGGGACATTAACACACAGCACCATCTAGTTCCATGGTAAGCTATGAGGCTTGTGTTATAGGTATCAGATAGATAATATACTACACATATATAACTTTGAATACATACATATTATAAATATAAACCCATGATTGGAGTACAACATTCGTGTCATCATACGTATGTACGTACTTACTCATCTTGATACTTATCAGCTTTAAATAGTTTTCTGTAAGATTTCAAAATATGCATAAGTATATAATAGTAACAAGATTATGGCTTTATTTTAAAAAAAAATAATAATATTTGGAGGTTGTTAAGAACTTACTAAACAATGAAAAAGACGATGTCACACATTTTTTTATATATTCATTTGTCTGCATGTAAATTCGCGCTTGATTTAGGAATGCCCATTGCCCATGTGGGTTTTTACAGGTTTTTTTCTGTTCATGTGCTAGTAAGTCTCAAAAATATAATAAATTTTATTTCAATTATTTCCAACAGCTTGAGTTCTCCAATAAACACTCATAAATACAAAGCGGGGAATATGCATTAAGTGGTCGTGGACTTAATAAAATACACACGCAAGCGAAGTACTGATTGTAGCTAAGAAACTAAGTAGTAGTTAAAAAAAACTAGTGAGATATTTATGAAAAATATATACGAGTAATAATCGTGCATCGGACAGTTGTAGCTTAGTGGTAACGCGTTTACTTGGGAAAGCAAATGAAGCGGGTTGAAATCCCGGCATCTCTGATATTCTTAAGTGCAAATCATTTTCAACACTATTATATATATATATATATATATATATATATATATAGATTTTTCATTCTCTACTTTTATGTTATTCCAGTTTTTAACTAAGATTTTATTAAATTATAAAATCAGTATTTTCATAAAATATGTTGCTAAAATTAAAAAATATATATATTAAAGGTTATTCTTATGAGCTATACAGAAAGAACTTACTACGTCTAGTGGTAATCAAAATAAAATTGATAGAAGTCCCAAAAAAGCGTTTAAGTAAATGCCAAATATATGAGTAGGAAAGTATTAAATTATAATAGCTCAAAAGTAAATTATATATTTATTAAAGTGATTTTTTTAGCTAGGCTGTAAAAGATCATCATATAACAAAATAACTTATAGTTATAAAGACATAAGAAAATATAATACATAATATGTCCATATAACACGTGAATTGGATAGTATTTAGGTGATAATATAAAATTAAAAATATTGTACGACGATAGTTTAATTTATGGGGCAAGTGAAAATATTTCAGCTTGAAATTTAACTGCTTAAAAGAATAAATTTATATAGAATACAAATTATAACATAAATCTCATGAAACCAAGCTGGCGAATAACTTTGGATGTACGAACTAAACTTTGAGAAGCCCTGCTATATAGCATGATATCAAGATAAATCTTTAGTTACAAGTAAATCGCGTTCACAAACTTACTAATTGCAACAATTCCGCTAAAGTAATAGTTTGGGGCAGAATAAAATAATAACGCACATTTGGGGCACGTGTAGCTCCATCCATCCCCGTAATTGCCGACAGCCGGGAGATAGCTACGGAGTTATGACGTCACATAACGTGCTAATGACGTCGTAACTGCATTGCCCCCGGCTCGTGCCTCAGCAATGGATGCAATGCAATTTACTAAGTACCCGTTAACGCGACATTTTACGGCGTTTTACACCTGTCCGCTTAAGTTAAGTCGAAAAGTAGGTTAGAATTATGCTTGGACTCCGTCCGGAGAAAGATTGTATGACAAAAACCATAATAACATATGAACTAAATTTGCCACCATATTTGTAATACATTTTCTTTTTATATACCTTCGCACGCAGAGGACTGGAAAAAAATATAATAATACGTAATAGGCGTATGTAGAGGGTTAATGGTAATTGGACGTATTCCTGTTAAGAGGTGATAGGGGTGACTATTTGCGATAATTTTAACCCTCTTATGCATTATGCAAAAGTGAACCATTTTTGAGTTATTATGTTTTTTTGCTTGTTTCAAAATAAGTCAAAATTGCATTATCAAAAATTTATAAAACAAAAAGTATTAACTAAAAACTGGTCATTTATCAATATTAAATGAAAATGCGAGACGAAAAACGATATTATTTCAATATTTTTTTGAGATTTTTTTTCCACTAAAATGCTTTAAAAAAGACGTTTTGAAACCTGGCTTGCAGAGTATTTTAAAAACATAACCGTTTTCTTAGCTCTCCGACCCGCCGACCCTCCGGCCCGCCGGCCCACAGACCTGCCTGCTTGCTGATAAGAAAATATAGAAATAATATAGTTTTTCGTCTCGCATTTTCATTTAATATTGATAAATTACCAATGTTTAATAATTTTATAAATCGGAAGAAAAAAGTGATTTAAATTCATACGTTTTTATAAATATTTAATGTTTTAATAAATTTTATTATAATTTTTTTATTTATTTTGAAAAAAGATAATTAACATGAGAATTGAAAAATAGTTCACTTTTACATAATGCATATGGGGGTCAAAATTATCGGAAATAGTCACCCCTATCACTTCCTAACGGGATTATGACGAATTACCAATAACCCTGTATGTATATGTTTATACTTATCATACTTTTTTTAGTGTTGTAATCAAATTTTCATTAAGGCTTTGTCTTTTATCACCTGCATAAAGAGCATAAAATTGTTATTTTTTTATATTCATCACATTGCATATAAATTATTTAGTCATATTCATGTTTTCTATATAAAACCTTACATTAAATGCTTGTTTGTAAGAACAACAAGATGAAAAATATTGTATGTGTTCAATAATGCGAATCAGACGCTAATGAAAATAATTGGTTGGCTATGGACAATACATCATAAATCCCACGATCATATCACAAAACTGGTGAAATA